AATGGGTAATAAAAATGAGATATCACTACTACATATTACACTTTGCACGACAAAGAGAATTTCGGCCCGCAAAATACATTGTAGTCGCACAAATTTCAGCGCGACAGAAACTTCATCGCGCAGAATCCGTCGCGCAAAGATCGTGAAGAAAGACTTTGTGTGACGAAGTTTTTTCATTGGTCGCGCAAAGCGACTTTGCGCGACGAAAACATATTTGTCACGCAAAGTGACTTTGCGCGACGAAAAATATTGGTCGCGCAGAGCGACTTTGAGCGATGAAAAAATATTTGTCGCGCAAAGTGACTTTAAGCGACGAAAAATATTGGTCGCGCAAAGTTTTGCGCGACAAAAAAATTGGTTGCACAAAGTTTTGCGTGACGAAAAAAAAATTTTAAAAATTTTTAAAAATAAATTTCCCGCATCCCATTTTTGGTATCCGCCCAAATTTTTAGAGTTTTGCGCTACGAATACTAATGTCACGCAAATATTTGTGCGACGAAATATTTTGGTTTTTGACTTTTTGTTTTATTATTTCTTTAATATTAATTTAATTAATTTAATTATTTCTAATTTTTACTTTTTAAATTTAATTTAATTGTATGCTTTTTTCGCTACTTTAATTTAAATTGATATTAATTTAATTATATTAATTTTTTTCAAATTTTTACTTTTTAAATTTAATTTAATTGTATGATATTTTTTAATTACTTTAATTTAAATTGATGGTGGTAGTGGCGGAGGATATGTTTTGATAGCTTCTAATCCTCAACTTTAGCCGTCAAAGTCTCGATGGTTCCTTACACACACACCAAAAAAAAAAAAAAGGTCAAATAACAAAAAAGAAAAAGGAAAAAAGGGATAATCTCCCCTAAAATTGTTATACCACAAATCCAACCCAAACTCCAATCCCTCCCCTTTACTCAACCACAAACCCCACACTAACTCAAAACTAACTCCAAAAACACATATTAATGAAAAAAATTTAAAATTTGGAGAGAATATACCTTTTGGCAAGATTGAGAGTGAGTGAGAATGAGAGAGAGAAGTGAGTGTGAGAGAATTAGAGAAGATAGTGATAGAGAGATGAGAGAGTGAGTGAGAGTGAGAGATAGTGAAAAGAGAGATGATGAGAGATTAAGTGAGAGGAGTGAGTGTGAGAGAAATGGTGGGATTTGGGGAGAGGGAAAGAGAGAGGAGAGGAAAGAGTAGAGAAAGACATTGAGAAAATGGTGGAGGAGTTATTTTCATTTTAAAAACCGTATCACTTTGCGCGACGAACGACATTGTTGGTCGGTATCACTTTGCGCGACGAACAATATTGTTGGTCACACAAAGTATTGTGCGACGAAAAATATTGGAGTATTGGTTGCGCAAAGTTTTGCGCGACGAAATATATTGGTCGCGCAAAGTAAAAATAAAAATAAAAATCCCGCTTCCTATTTTTGGTACCCGCCCAAATTTTGAAATTTTTGCGCGACAAAAAATACATATTGGTTGCGCAAAGTCTAAAAAAATTATATAAAAGAATTCCCGCATCCCAATTTTGGTACCCGCCCAAATTTTTGCGTGACGAAAAATATATATTGGTTGCGTAAAGTTTTGAGCGACACAAAATATTGGTGGCGCAAAGTCTAAAATTGTTATTTATTTTTAAATCCCGCGTCCCATTTATGGTACCCGCCCAAATTTTTAGAGTTTTGCGTGACGAACTGTTGGTCGCGCAAACTTTTGAGAGACGAAAAATTGGTTCGTAGCACGATATTTATAAAAATAACTTCTATGAATAATAAAAAATAAAATTATTGGATTTAAAATATAAATAAGGTTAAAGCTACTTGATAAATGTATATACTATTCAATTTCTTAATTGTTATATGTACAAAATAAATAAATTTAAAGCTACTTAATAAGTAAATAAATATATATATATATACACACACCATTCAACAATCCAACCATCAGACTTGTTTGCATATACTTCAAGATCGTATACCCCAAAAATCGCAAAAAATAAACATTCAAAGACCTAGTAACGGGACAAAAAATTTCAACGGTTATAAATAAAAAATCACGATTTAACGGTTATTTTAACTCCGATTTTGATGATTTTTTACATCTACACTCCTTGATCCTATATGAATATAATGAACTAATTCGATCATCAATTTAAAATATTTACACTAGTGGATACCACAAAATCTTATGTTATATTTAACAAAAGTATAAATAAATTCTTAATTGTTAGTGAATATATTGTTTTGATGACATACGCATTCTACGAAACTAGTTTCAATGATCCAACCAATAAACGTTCAGAGATCAAGTAACGGAACAAAAATTTTCAACGGTTATAAATGAAAAATCATGATTTAACGGTTATTTTAACTCCGATTTTGATGATTTTTTACCGCTACACTCCTTTACCCTCTTAGGGTCAAGTCAACTCACTGCTTCTATCGCCTCTCCATACCCAAGCCCATAAAGCAAGCCATCTCTCCATCAAGGAGAAGCCGCCCGTAGAGGTCATACCTCGGAGGGCACCAACCACCTCACCAACAACAGCAAATAAAAACTACGAAACCCTTCAGAGAAGCGACAAAATGAAACCCTTGCCTGAAAGAACGAAAGAGACCTCCCACAAAAGCAGAAGAAGCTTCCCTCGGTTCAGTTAAATAACTAATCACCAAAATTTAACACCTACTTAAAGCTTAAAAAACTACCGGAACAAGGAAGAGATGACAGTCTGTCAGGATGCCCATGGATGGCGATGGCGAAGAGACCCGACGCCACACAGAGAGCCGAGCCAAGGCTAGCAGTGGGCGGCTTCAGTGGTAGCTTGAACAAACAACAATTTATCCCTTCTCTAATAGCATGTCTCATTCATGTTCAAAGCAGACTGTCTTCATGCTCAATCAGTAGCAAGTTGACTTCATCCCCGGGGACCGGTCCAGTAGAGAACTCTTTTTTCGGAAACTACTCTATTATCTTGCATTCCTCATTCGCATTAGAGCATTAGAGTATGAATATAAGCAAGCTTTCTTATTCGAAAAAGAGCTCTAGAAGTTCAGTCGGTGTTCTCTCATCTCTTAATTAAGATATTTCAAAATCGAGAATCGTGAGACTCACCCAACCTAGTAAAGGGGCTTGAATCGGTATTTTGTTTAGGGATAAACCCTACTAAGGAAAGGATGAGATATAGCATTAACTCCACTTGTTGGTTATAACTGCTCTAGTTGAGACTGCTGCTAGATCCAGTAGCTGTGGAGAAAGAATTTAGGAAACCAAGCATGTAATAAGCGGAAATCAATACACAAGAAGGAGTTGTACACGAGTTTGGTAAAGCATTCACCTTTTGGTTGTACATCGACCTGTCGGGAAACTGGAAAGTCTCCCACAAGCGTCCCTTCTTAGGTCAGCATTTGGCTTTGGCCTTGCTTGTTCGGTTTTGGCTCATTCTTTAATATGTTGTATCTTGCCATGTCTGCTCCGTCTGTTGGTATAACATATATGTCTTCTCTGGCAATAGCCAATCAAGAAGCCAAAGCTGGAGCCAAGCCGGCACACCGGGTGAGGAATCCCTTACTTGTTCAGCTGGCGGATGCCGTTCTTGCTCTTTATGAAGATGCAGATGCAGTATAATACGAAAATTTATAAGCCAAGTTCGGTACACCAAGCCGTTACACAAATCTCTTTGTTTCAAATAGGTTATCCCATATCGGCCGGCCAATCAACAAAGATCTGAAGAATGACCACTTTTTGAGCCTACGAAAGGAAATTCCATTAGAACATATAACAGAGGCGTGAATGGGGGAATACGATACCATAAGGAGGAATTCATAGAACTTCATATTCTACTACCCGAAGGAGGAGGTATATGGCAATAGCCAAGTTTACGATAAAAGAATAGGACAAAGGTATATATTAAAAGTCTGAAGATAAACATTCAGAGATCAAGTAATTGAACAAAACTTTTCGACGATTATAAATGAAAAATCACGATTTAACGGTTATTTTAACTCAGATTTGATGATTTTTTACAGCTACACTCTTTGACCCTATATGAATACAATGAACTAATTCGATCGTCAATTTAAAAAATATATTTTCTAACAAAAACCCAATCCGAACAACAATAATATATTTTTCTAACAAAAATCCAATCCGATCTAAAATAATAAATTTAAAGCTACTTAATAAAAATATATATACCGTTTAATTTCTTAAGTGTTATGCATACAAAATAAAAAATAAAAATAAATTGGTTTAGGCGACGAAATGTTTGGATTATGCCATGCAAAGGTTTTAAAAAAGATTTATTTTATTTTATTTATTTTTATAAGGACTTTGCGCGACGATGTTTATTGTTTTGTCACTCAAAGTCACTTTGTGCGACGAAAGACAATTCGTCGCGC